GTTGGTAAAAATTGAAACACGAGGTATATGGAGCAACAAAGGTATGCTGCCGATTGGAGGGAATATTTTGTCCTTGACATTGATTCTTTTCGGAAGTGTTTGTCTTTGGCAGAATATATTCTTACATTATCAAAATACCACACCATCGCAGGTGCTTATGTACTGAAACCCTACACTAAAACTATAACCAAAATTGAGCAATTTAGTTAATATCATGACATTCAATACCACCCAAAAAGTGATAAAACAAAGTTAAAAATAAGTTGAAATAATTTAACATCAAATATTTTGTAATTCTCCGACTCAAAAAAGATTTCCAGTCTATAAAACTTGAAATACTAAATGACGGTCTTAACGTTGCGCAATGGAAGAATGCAACAATGTCGGACATAACATTTGATCGACGCGGACAAACAGCATTCTTCTGAAATCGTGATCCGTATTATCTTGCGGGTCACTTTGCAGCAAGTCCTGGCTTCATTACTGTCATTGTCGCAGTGACTTTAATTTACAGATTTGAACAAAACAAACAAGTACAGATATAAGTGGAAAACTAACGTAAACGTGAATGTACAAATTAGCACGCTTAACCGGTTCTACTTTTTCTTCTAATCCTATTGCCAAGCAATTCTTTCGCTAATCTTTGCTACGACGACTATGCACATTGCAGCAGCGCCGACTATTATCTAAATGATTTATCTATAAGTGTGGCACAAATAAACGCAGCCGAAATAAAATAAATCCACCGCAATAAAAAGACGTTGCCGCCTGCCCAAACGAGGTCCCGCCTCAGGCGTGTTGTCATCTAATCACAACCAACGATCATTTGTTTCGCTATAATCACTCTCTGGTTACCAGTCAGTCACGGTACATTTTGCTGAATTACTATCGCTGATATTTAATTGTGTGAAATAAATTTTTATATCATTAAACACTATAGTAAATTTTCAAAATCTGCCGATTATGACACCGCGCCAATATTAGACACGCTAACTGTATCTATAACTAATAAATACCAGTCGAATTTCTGCGTTTTTATCATAAATATCGTTTCGGTCTGTGATCAAATTCGAAAAAAAATACAAAATTTATGGATCACGTTTTGCGCTATGCCCATTGATAATTAAACTGATCCAAAGCGAAGTGTACATAGCCTAACTTTAGCAAAATACGCTTGCTAGAAAAGGATAATCAACGCAAAATATCTGGCCATGGATCAATACGTAATGTCATCATTTCTTTGTCTGGGTTGTTCCAGATATGATCCACATTCGATAGGAAATCCAATTGAGATTGAGAAACTGTTGGGCAACTGCATCGTTGGATTATAAAAATCAATTTGCATATAGAATAAAACACACGACATTTCTTTGAAAAAATGGAGTGAAGTTGGACTTTTTAGTCGGATAAAACGCAAATATTAGAGAAATCGTCTTTAATAACAATATTTAAGCATCCGTTTTTATGCACGATAATGACATAATTACTAAAGACACAACAGAAACTGAAAAAGTTGGAATGAATATACGGATACATTACAATTTTATGAATATAGCGTGATTCGATTAGATAGAATCGAAACTATTTGAATCACTAAAAATAGTCATATATATGATTTAATAAATACGTCATTTGATAAAGAATGATGCATAAAGTGTATTTCTCCTTCGACATACCATTCTATTCTGTCACTATTCACTATCTCACCCTCTCTTCTCATTACACATACTCACTCACTGAGTTTTCAAAAGCAATGGCCACTTTTTGCAATGGCCACAAAAACCCTTTCTTACTTTAATTTATGTTTCTATTATTTCCTATTTTGACCAGAAGGAGTACTTTTGTATGATAAATATATATCGGGATACTTAAAATTTATAATGAAATTCGCTGAATGTGAGATCACAACAACAAACTCGAAAGAGGATAGACCCAACAGAAGGCAATTTAAACCACTATGTTCCATGTCTAGAAAAAAACATCGTTTTGTTTTGACTTCACCACCCAAATTCTTAGTTTGACTAGTTTACAAAACGTTGTTATTACACCGTCGTTGTCACTCAATGTCAATTTTATGACAAAAATGCTTCTTCAGAATCGCAATGACTCAGACACGAAAATAACGACTGATGAAGCCAAATCTCATGTGACTGAAATTGACTATAACTATAAAACTGACCATAACTATACTATAATTTTATTAAGAAAGAATAATATTGGTATTGTTTACGAACAGAAAGTTATTGTTTTTAAATTTGACCACCAACTACTAATATTCACTACTACAGAAACAAGTCACCCTATCTTTCCCTCAAGGAAACAACAAACTTTTCACGTTCATAATTTCTGCAGACGTAATCATATCAATTGATATTCACGGTTTTCCGCATCTTATCAATCTCCATTTAACTTATCTAAAACGCGTAAACGGAAATGGACGTTTTCTAGTTAATGATTATTTATAAACAATTTCAGACTTTCCTATAGATTTAAAATAAATTATTTATTTATTTTAATAGACTAAATTCAACGATGATAACACTTCTATTTATATTGGTTATTATGAACAACATTCATTTTGATCGATGTGATGTTACGATTGCATTTTAAAAGTAATAAAAGATAACATTAGCTCAATAAATTCTCTCAATAAAATCAAGAAATAATTTTAGTAATCATGTTTAAGTTGGTAGCATGACAAGTAAATTGCTATTATAGATTCAATTTGCAGTTGAGCCACAAAGCCCAGGAGAAATATTGGTTTGGCATATGAACCTAACTTGCTATGAATTATGTCGTGACATCATCCACAGCCGAACACGTTTTCAATAATATGCAGCAGAAAATGATTTCTAACAAACTAATCTCAATTAAAATCCAGGTGGACGCACTTCGTCACAATTGTCTTCGACGTGGTGATTAATTTGTCACTTGAAAATAATAAATAATTACATTGTCAATCTATCAGAAACATTCTGCGAGCAAGTTTGTCGAAATATTGTAGGTTTACTATGAAAATATATTTTAATAGTCAATCATTAACTTACGGTGAGCAATAATTTAGATCCAAAGCAGGGTCAGAATATAACAAAATTTGACCCTTAAAATTATTTTGGACATTTTAGTTTAAATGAAAACACAGAAAGAGAATTGTTGTTTGTCGTGAACCTAAAAAACTAAATTACAATATGCGAGCAAAACCTGTAAAACGAATGTTTTTGGTATAGATCGGTGGAAACAATTCAGAAATCAGTTTCCACTCATTTTGACTTTTATATGGAGCGTTTGATCCTTTATTCTAAGTCATTATATTATTTTCCCTAATTCTATCATTTTGTGTAAATAAGATACGAAAATACCTAAAGCGGTTACAAACTTATAGAAAATTAACCCGGGATTGTAGTTGGGACGCAATTTTGTATACTCATAGTGAAAATATGCAATATCTCACAAAGTAAGTGAGCTGCAGAAACGGGAACAATATTCAATTGATATCATATCGAACACACCGCGACGATGCCTCAATTTAAACAAAGTATAAACATACACGAATGGTTGTCACCAAATTTCCAATAGGAGTGGTGATGACTCCATAGCGCCAGTTGTGGCGTAGAGATATTTACTCAAAATTGAGTACATAAATAAATCATAATCTAAGCAAATATTGTCACTAGTCGAATTTAAATATTTTGAATGTGTAAGTTGAAACGAATCTACCAAAAATTGCCTGATAATTAAAGAAATATGCAAATATCCATTATATCATGAGTGCGTTTGTAATCCAAATTGTAGATCAGGAATGGCGCATCAAAAATTTTATTTTTATTATGGAAAATATGACTGTGGGTCATAGAAATTCAATGGGTACCAGCACCGGTATGAAACTTGCTGTGTTGCATCTTTTCCGCAAGTCTTATACTTATACCGTCGGTTGGTATTGTGTAGTATTGAGCTTTACATAGCAGCACTATTTTAAAGAGGCAATTTCAGGTACGCAATATTACTAAATTCATGCGCGAAAACACGTACTGCATATAAATTATATGAAAACGTTCATAATACGTTTCACAATACGGAAATTTTATGAAATGAATTCAAAAAAATAACAATGATAATTTTTAGTCGACTTCAACCGCATTAAAATCACTGCCATCCAAATTCATTGTTTCAACAAATTTACGCGGTAGTTAATTCAGAAACTGCGAAGCAGCATTGTTGTCAGCAGATGCACGCTGGAACCACTATTTTTCGCCTATTGTCAGATTGAATTAACGCTTCCATAGATTTTTATGACTAATATGTTACTTGCATTAATTCGCGCGCGAGTTGGCGGGTCACCTCCTGATTTAAAACCATTAATATCTTGCATAGTTGGCCTGTGTGAATTACCCCAATATTTCATTCAGAAAATCGCGTACAACATTTTGTTGTACAAGTATTGATCCTTCACATGTTTCATCTAAAGAGGCTTCTGGCACACGTGAGAGGATTGAATCGGAGGAGTTTCATTGTTTCGGGAGGACTTTTTGCTTTGTATATAATAGGTATAAGTTTATTTCGACTGCATAATCGGCATAGCAGACGATAAAATAGTGGATAGAACAAATAAATAATGCGGGTATCGCTGCAAACATTTGACTTATTTAGTATTATCGCAATGCAATTGCGGACACATTATGATCATCTATTCTTAAGAGTGTTACTTGCGCGTAACAGAAGCTGATGAACATGAAAATAGGCCGAAGGATTTATGCATCGAAAAAGGTCGAGAACCGCTGCCTATTTTATCTCGGGGATCAGTGATTCTTTGTTTAGCATAAAAAGATTTTCCAGTACTTGGATATTTTCGGCGCATGAGATAAAACCAAAATGAAGTGACATAAAACTTGGTACCGGTACTGATATTAATATATCACAGGATATCCAATCAGTTCTTTAATATGTTCCCAACCAACTCCAAGCTTGCCCCAGAAAGTTTTAAAGGATGAACACTCGAGAGATTTGAGAATCCATTATTGTGTTTATTACATTGATAAAAAAGAAAGTAACAAATGCACGGAATATGCATAAAGCAGTGTGTACACAAGATGTAGAAATTTTCAGATATTTGCCAAAGGCAGGTTTAATTGAGTAAGCTTTCTAAACCTATAAAACAATTGTGCTCAACAGATTCTGCATTATGGCGCAACTGCCTCATTCAAGTTTAGTTCTGGGGTATTTAGGCTTTGACTAGAGTACTAGCCAGATGTATCAACACATGTGTAAACTGTAAATACTTCTTGAGACAAAACTGGTGAAATATTGGACCTGATTTTAAGAAAAACTCGGATTATGCAAGTTCTCTAGTATTTGAAATTATATCAAGATGGCCATATGATTTTGGTCTTGATTTAGTGAAAAGATTAAAAAAACAAGTACGTCAGTGAACAGGAACTTTTGTCACTGATTTTGGTAAACCATTTTTCAAAACCTCCATTAAATAACTTCCCAAATCCTCATCTTGATATGGCCATGAAACCAATATTGATTTACTTGCTGGACTGTCATCTTCATGGGTATTAAAATCATCCGACACATCCATAGCTGCTTCAGAATCTTTTTGAACTTTAAGTAAAACTGATTCAATCAATATATGTCCATCTGATGTGGTATTAACAGAATGTGACCTCAACAACTGCTTTAAATGTTCATATAATCGAGTCATTGTTAGTTTTTCAGAACGGCAAGCATTTTGTAATTCCACTGTTGATGTGAATCGTAAATCATGTTTTGGCAGTCCAAGTTCTTGTAATGCTTCATCTTGTTCTAAAAGTCTTATTTTATTGTCTTTCATTAGCAACGCTCCATGTATAATTTTAGAACATTTTGGGTTCGGAGTTGCAGTATCAACAATTTCAGTTTTGTGTTTGAGGAGTTTTAAAGACATGTCAACTGGTACACATGGCTTTGATGAGATGACACAGGTCTCCCCATTTGCTGGATTAAAGCACTCCAATCCTAATTCATGATTTATTTTTGCTTTTAAAAATTCCATTTTCTTTGCTTCGCCATGAACCAACAACACATGCTCTGGTTCACACATACGAGTTAGCTGCATTATCCCTTTAGCATCAGCGTGTGCACTAAACGACATATATTGTACCTGCATTTTGATTTCAACCACCTTACCAGGTTGCAACTCGATTTTCCTCATACCAGAAAGGATTTTGTGGCCTACAGTACCTGCAACACAATAACCAGGCATTATGATGGTATTTTTGTCACTAGTACACCATTTTTTAAAAATTTCAAGAGACAATCCACTATGGAGCATTCCCGGGGTTGCAAAAACAACCATGGGACCTGGATTTTCAATGAGTGTTCTGTTGAATGGCTTGATATGTTTGAAATCGAACAAGTTTCTATCCACAAAAGTACTTTTTATCTTTTGATTTGTCCAAGTTATGAAAAGCTTGTAATAATTTGTTGCTTTTTCAGTTAAACCTGTTGAAAAATATATTGGAACTCTCAAATTCATGCGATCCCAGTATGACTCTAGTAAAATACAAAGTTCTTGTGCTCTTCCAAGAGCAAAAACAGGGATCAATACTTTTCCACCCTTATCAATTGTTTCATGCACTTTCTTCAGAAAATCCCTTTCTCGACATCGTTTCGAATCTCGTATAGTTGTTGCATACGTTGATTCAGTAATAAGCAGGGTTGGCCGGCATTTATCTACCCATGCTGCTCCAAGATGCCTATCAGGTGTCATATTATAATCTCCTGTGTATAAAACAGATTCGGTTCCAGCACGAATGTAGAACATTCCTGCTCCTAATACATGCCCTGCATAATACGCCTTAATCTGGAGTTCTTCGTCAACATATATGGTTTGATGCAGATTAGCCGTAACTACCTTTTTCATACAATCTTTGATCATTTGTGAGGTAAAAAAATTAACTTCACCTTTTTTATCAACAGTTATTTTTCTGTAGTCTTCCAAAAGGATTGGAGCTATTGCTTTTGTAGGATGGGTCATGTAGATTGGTCCATCATAGCCAACCATTTCAGACATGTATGGTAATGCACCACAGTGGTCCAAATGAAAATGGCTTATAATAACGCAGTCAATATACTCGGTTAATCGTCCCTTTCCACCAGTGACATATGAAAAGTCAGGAAACCTTCGATCATCGTTAAATCCCATGTGCATTCCACAATCTAACATCACATTTTTTCCACCAAGGGATATCAATATGCAACTGCGGCCAACATCCTGGCCTGCACCAAGGGGTACAACTTTTATGTCAGGCATTACTGCGTTACCAATTCAGCAATTATCAAAAGGCATATCTAAATGTATTAAACCATAGGATAGCTGCCAAATTTAAAACGTTGATATGTTAGGTCTTTAGGTGCTATAACTAACTGTACAAGTCTGCAAGTAGACTTGATGGCTTCCTCCACCATCAAGGTTGTGGTTTGCCATATGATTGAGGCATATTATGGGCTCACAGAAATACAAACTTTTTTCAAGTTGTTAAATTAATAAGTTCAGCAGTTAGCACTTCCATACAACTAGACTACGAAACTAAAATACAAAAATGAAAAAAACTATTGAAGTGATAAGTATAAGTTTATTTCGACTCCATAATCAGCAAAACAATAAAATGAGTGCTAAAAATAAATAAATAAAAACTGATTATGAAATCAGGAGAGCGAACAAAACCTTAGATAAGGTTTAAAACGTACAGAATGTATATAAGATGGAAGGTTTTGCCAAGAAGATGTGGTACGTGTTCACTCACCTAAAATAATTGAAATATTTCACACACGCTTACACGCACCCACACACACAACCATATAGAAGTTATTAAGTAAAGGGAACATGAAAAATTACATACTGGTAGTTAATAAAAAATAAATAAATAAAAATTACTTGCCACACCATATTAATAAATTTATCATGATTGCCACTGCCAAATTGATCAATTTTATAAATGGGAGTGAACAGTAAAGATAAACTTTTATAAAAAAATATATTGTCAAGCTGATTATAGATGGAGTCAAATGCCAAAATGCCCAACCAAAGTTGCCAGAATTGGGTGCATGAAGAGGTGGGCTAGACCACTTCATTGCCCAAACTAGAGCCTATTATTGCCAAAAATAATTTTGAAAATGAAAATTTTTTAACTGAATGGGTTGGGGAACTGGGACTAAGGGACTAATTTTTGGATGGCGTATTCAGGTGGGGGTTAGGATTGATACGTAAAAAAAAATTCGTATGCTACGCCCTCTAGAAGTACGTTAGGCACGAAACTACATTAGACTCCGACCGAACTAGGCCTACCAATATGATGTGAGTTGGATTCACCCGTTCCTTCAATGGATGTCTGTTCGACCTTTGACACCCAAATTTTAGTAGATTTTGGCAAATTTTTGGTAGACCTTTTCTCGAGATGGCGCTTGCAAACTTAGAATACTATTCACATATTTATCCTGCGGGAGAGAAAAACCGATTAAACGGCCTAATCATATGATCCTCCACGGCCTCCACGGGTACTAGTCCAGGGTATGAAATTAGTTAGTTTAGCGGTTCCCAACATTTTGTTCATGCAACGCCAAATTATCAGGGAAAACCTAAGAAAAAAATTGCTACTTTCAAATAAAATTCAATTTTGTGATCATCGTTGTGTATTTTATGTCTTTTAAAGTTTGTAAACATGTAGTCCATGTATGACTTCAGCAGCATTCAGAATCCCAATATATGCTTTGGAAAAAATCTTCGATAAGTTCTTTACACTTCACTCTTAGTCTTTTTCTTACAAAGAGAGAGAGATTTATTGTTTCGTCAACCAGAAAACAAGCATTGGTACAACAAAATATACACAAAATATGCAAGTTAATTCGGTATGGACTGGTGGAAGCGATGCGCACTTAGGGTCATCAGAGTCAGCTCCCCCAAAATTCACCATTAAGATTCACAGTTAAAAGCGGTTAAAGCGTAGTAGTATATATTCACGGTTAAATCAAACGCTAGTATACCCTAGCCCAGCGTTTCCCAAACTGTGTTCCGCGACGCGAGGGTCTTCCGAGTGTTCCGCGACGCGAGGGTCTTCCGAGTGTTCCGCGGAAAAGCGATACAAATTACGACTAAATTGGTCGCCATAGCGATCACAGGATCCTGAAGAAGCCGTTCAATATCGCGTCACCGCCGGCCTAAAGCGGACTAACGTTTTAAGGGGAGAGGCATTTTCGTGAACCGTCGGCCTAGCTTTTTGATTGTCAAGTTCATTATCAAATTTACAGCAATCTTTTTGGTTTTGCTATAGGTAAACATGTAAGCTTAAAGAATAAAGGCAAAAGAGTCAAATGTTCCTTCTTCCTCTCTGCCTGGTTTTACTTTGAAATGCTCATATTAAACAAGAGAGCTATGCTCAAATATATGGACACGTAGCGCCACCCAATGGCAATAACTTTGATGACGTCATAGCGAAAAAAAAAAGTAATAGCCTTCTGGAGAAAAATTTTATCTTCAACCACTGAAAATTTCAAAGCAATTGGTCCAGTATTCGGAGAGAAAAGCGACTTTTTAAAAACGTGTCAAAGAACAACAACAACAACAACATATTATTGAAACGGTCGTTATGTCCACTACGTGTCCAATAACTGATTTATTGATTCATATATTTTTAAAATAGGAAAAAATAAACATTTATGGTAAATGCTATGTTAAATATTCAATCATACTGTATTAATGTTTAATACAATTCTGTTAGTTTTCGCGGCGCATTTAGCAACACTAGTTCTCCTGGCGCAACCTTTGGGAACCGCTGCCTTACACCATTTTTCTTTATCAATTTTACACTTTCATTTTTCGGTGTTCCGCGAGACGAGATGAAAAGTGTGAGTGTTCCGTGGCCGAAAAAGTTTGGGAAACGCTGCCCTAGCCTACCATACGGTGCTAATTTTGGAAGTTTTATAAATTTGCGAAAGTAGTGGGTTAATAATATGGTCAACGTATCAGTCAAAAGCGAACAAAAACGACTACAAAACATTAGCCAAGATGTCTTATCGGAATCGCTCCCCCATTTACCTGTATTTGGCCTTATTTTATTGCCCTAAGTATTTTGCGTAGCGATCTCAATATCATTGCATGGCCTGGTTCCGTAGTTCCAGAGCCGTGCATATAAATATAACTAAAGAGCGCTCCATAAGTGCGTGTACCAATATGGAGGTAACTAATATTGTTCGCCTACTCTATAGACTTTATAGACTATAGGTTATTGCATTTTTATTATATAAGGCAAAAACAATTGTTTCCACTTATATCTATTGTATAATCGCCTAAACAACCAAACTTTTTCAAAAACGAGATCCACATCAGACTATAAATTTCCAACGTGAGTATAATCGTGTTTCAATACCCACAAAAGGTCGCATATAGATCCATATGTAGCGCACTGGGTAGTAAAATAGACGAAAAGCTGGCCAAAACCTGAAACTTTGGAAGCATAAACGCAAAGATGGCGACGATCAAATTGCCCCGCGCTGCGACATCGCAGCACCAGAGAGAAGATCGTTCCATGTATTTCCAATTCAGTGGCTCAAGCGCGTATCTTCTGATCCGTTTGACCATATATACGGTTTGACACACGAAAAAATTATTTTTAATACCGTATGTATATAAGTTGATAATACGATACAAATTCAAAGAATTCGGGCGTTGATTCGTGAGAATAAAAAGTATATATACGCGAATTGTTGAATTCGGGCGGTGAAGCTTGAAAAATAAAAATACACGAGCGTGAACTCGGGCGTTAAACTTGGACGAGTTGAAGTTGAGTTGGTCCTGTCTGATCGTAGGAATCGTTCTGGTCCAGTAACCTATTTTTGTGTCAAAATTTCAGTTAATTGACATACCGCCTGCGCCTGATACTGAAGATTGCTTGCTTCCTGAAATGTTGACGTGTTTTCAATTGACTTGGTTACTGATAAATTGCTTCCCCATTTTGATTGACAAGAGCAGGCAAACTACACCGGAGTGTCTAATTTCATAGCAATACAGAAACAAACAAACAGATTAAACCAACCTTGGTATGATACTGAGTTATGCAAACTCAACAAAGTCAAACAAAAACAATAAAAACATAGATGACAAGCACAAATCACAGTAGGTCTAATGAACGAAGGAATCTGTATGCTCGACTCCTTTGTAAAAAGAAATCAAGTTATTAGCCTATATGGGTGGCATATGGGTCTAAATTTGCTACATCGAGACAAGTTCTTCCCTTTTTTTAAAAAAAAAAGGTAGTTTTCAGCTCTGGGGAACTATAGACCTATTAGGCTTCTACCATCGTTTTTCAAGATTCTTGAAAAAATAATTTAGTACAGGTGAAGTTGCAGGAGTTGAAAGAAAGCGATTGAGAGATGGGAAATCATGTATCAAGTTAGGCTGACAGTTGATGTTGTAAAATATACAGGTCATTTCAGACTGTGTGATTCATCGAGATTCAGTGTGGATATAGTCTAGTATGCAAACACTGCAGGACTGGAACACATCAGATAAAATGCATTATGTATGAGAAATATTATGTATTACTCAGTATTTGATGGTGTTTTTATTTGTCGAAAAACACTCATATTGTTCCAAATATGATTATCTTCCTCATTTTAGATACTGTACTACAAAAGAAAACGACAATGTTCCACCAATCAAACCTAACGCAGTCTATCAGCGCTATACCTGTAAGAATAAAATGGATCGAAGAAGAAATCTTGAGGAAAAGCGTAAAGGTAGGCTATATGAGAATCATAACAGTTGCAAACACCTTAGAAAGGCTATTCATATTGAAATACTTTGTCATTCTTCTGCACTTGAAACTGCCCATCAAACTGATGTTGAAGGACTCGAAATTCATTGAGTTTTTTTCTCAACTATGGAGATCTTTTGAGGTCAACGAGGCATGAATAAAGCTGAAAAATTTGTTTCTTCACTGTATGGAAATAATGTAAATGATCCCAGGGCACGTCTTTTCAAAACTGGCAAATATATTAGATTACCGGTATACTCTTTTACTCAACAATGATTCACTAAAAAAACATGTTCTGAAGGCAAATTACCAGGCAGGAATTCATCACTGTTGCCTAGAACCAAAGCCAATTATTCCCCCACCCATTGGCCATGGGTGGGTTCTTGATGATGGTGTTTTACGGTTTAAATTGATGGATCTACTTCCAGGCCCCAAATCAGTTTCTGAGTTGGCGAACTGCAAGTTTAAGGAAAATAGGTGTCAAAATAATTTATGCACGTGTGCCAAAAACAACCTAAATTGCACAGAATTTTGTATATACTGCAGAAAAACACGTTACACTTGTGGAGGAAAAGTCGATTTTCGAGAATGAAAATTTCGGGAGCAATTCAGAGGAAAGTGAATTAGATATTGAAGTAAATTTAATAAATAATGTTTATTAGTTTTTTCTAGACATCCGTTAGTACCGAAAGTCTCGTTCTTATAAATAATATTGCCTTTGTTTCAAATACACAACCACATTAACTGAAAAAAGACTATTAGTGGGTCCAAGCTGTAATGCGTTCAGTATGTTCATTTCCATACAGAATTAAAGAATTTATTTAGTTACCACATGTGCGGTCACGGTGCAATTACACGAAAAAAATGCTGCTTTTAAATAAAACTCAATTTTGTGATCGTTAATGTGTACTTAATGCTTTTTGAAGTTTGTAAACATATATGCCTAAGATAAACTCTTCTTCCTCATCTCTGCTTGATTTTTCTTTGAAATGCTAAAAAAAAGAATAGAGAGAGAGAGAGATTCATTATTTTGTCAATTTAAAACAAACAGTCATCAATACGAAAAAAATACATAACACAAATAAAATTGCTTTGGTATTGACGGGAGGCAGTGATACGAACATGAGGTCGTCGAGGTAACTTCCACCATATTTGCTGAAGTGATTAAGGTTCGCATTGAAGATGACTATTAGAAAAGTTGGTCTGTCAAAAAATTCGATGTAATCTCAGAAAACTATTGGGGGAGGGCATGTTTTTTTTTGAGAACTCATTTACACAATAAAAGTTCTATATGCTTTATAATTAGATGATAGGAAATAATATTATTTACAAACATTCGATATAAGAAAAGAGAGAAAAAAAATATATACATATATAAACTCTATATCAGTGAATGATGGGCTCGAAAAATGTGGTAAAAATGTATCACCAGCATGACAAATTATTTGCATCTTGGTAGGATTACTAACATAATTAAGCCAGTAACAGTAATAAAAGATATTATATGAAAACAAAACACAAGGGGAAATTCAAGTTGATTACTATGGCTACAACAGAATAGCAAATGGTCCAATAACCAAACTCAATCCAAATAATTGAGTTGAGGGATTTATCATTCAAATGTCATGTCTGGCTAAATGTATGCCAGTTTGAATATGGTAAAAGTCGAACACTCAATCCTCAAAATATTTGTTTTGTTAAATACGATGCAGCATTATTTAGTCCTGTTAGTTCCACACTAACATATGATGAAAATGATTTAATTACAAATTTGGTTTCGACTAAATGTCAAAATAGTATACAAGATAGAATAGATAGGAACAATAATGATCTAAATTCTTTCTGTGGCAGAACAATTGCAGTACATATGTGAAATTTGACAAGATAGTGCTTCCTTTTTCATAAGACATAAATAAAAGGAGTAATATTGGCAAATGAATATATACAGTACATATACACTGTATGTACAAGGGAATCATAGATCAGATTTATCAGAGAACATTACAAAGATTTGCTAATAGATAATGGTAAATAATAATATATATAAACAAAAAATAAAATAAAAAATGTATATATACTTCATATCAGTGGATTATGGGCTTGAAAAATGTGGTAATATTCATATACACAGCATTTAAAATAAGAACAATGAAACATTTATAACAAATACAATATGTAAAACATTTAATCATATTTTAGTTATGTTTATTCGTAAATATATACTACTACCCGGTATGTTAGTCGTTGACTACTACCCACTAATGCGCCACGCGCACCCGTTGGGAACCGCTGCTAACGGGATAACAAAAGAAAGATTGACGGTGCCGTAGCGCCCTCAGTGTCCCAAACGTTAAAATACAAAATATAGCAGTAATATCAAATAACAGCATTTAAAAGATGAAAATAAAGGTCCTCACGCTGACTACAGGGGTGGTGACTCCTCTACGACCCATGGGCCGGGGCCACGGCCCATCTAATTGGGCCACATGGGCCGTGGCCCATCAAGCTATGGGCCGCGGCCCCATCAGGAAAAATTCAATTATCTTACCAAAATTTTCAATTTTTACAAAATTGTCAATATTCGAACCAAAAAATAAACTCCTGTAGTATGTGTACCAGGTTAGGGTTAGGGCAAAATTTTGTTCAGATTTTTTACATTATAGTTCTATTACGAGTTTGGGGACTGTTTGTGTTAGCCAAGTGAATAGTCTCTTTACACAACTTGATGGGCCGCGGCCCATAGTCTGATGGGCCGCGGCCCATAGCCTGATGGGCCGAGGCCCAATTTAATGGGCCGTGGCCCCGGCCCATGGGCCGAAGAGGAGTCACCACTTCCACTCCACGCTGACTAGAGAAATTTATTTTTACCGTAATTTTTATTGATCACTCTCTTGAGTTCTAAAAGTTTAAACTGTTGATTCCGGTACCGATACTGGATTAGTCTGAATCTTAGAAAATCGATTTACTATTACAGTATTAGGCTTATTGAGCGTGCCAGAGCACAGGTGTAAATTTAAAAAATGAACCTGGTTGCAGATTATGACTCTTCAAGTTCAGGTTCAGACGTTGATCAAAACAAAAAGAAATCAACTGATGTTGAGTTATTAAGCAAACTAAACAATGAAAAAACTGAACCACCTGTGCTGTTGCCCCATATACAAGAGCAGGAAACAGAAAAAAGAGCAAATGAAACCAATACTAATTGTATTAAACTTCCATCAGCAAAATCTGTCATGAAGCGAAGGGTATCTTCTGAATCATCAGTTCTTGCTACAGAATACAAAAGGTATTTTTATTCTATTTCAATGTACCTTAGTCTGGAGGTTTTCAAGGATGTATGGGTTGATGGTTGATGCTGTGATGACATTCAGATATCTGGACATTCATTACAGATATGGATGCTAAGAATTTTTTGCCCAATGTAATACTTCAGTTATAACTAGACTACTGAACTACGAGCTCTCACTAATAGCTGGATAGAGCAGTTCAACTCTCTTATCCATTACATAGTTTCTGGTACATATTTCTGTATTTATGTTATCAAAAATATACTCATTTACCAGTTTAATTATTGTTTCATTGATCTTTAGAGAACAAGACGATAAAAACAAAATTTTAGAGCAACATGTAAAAATGGTAACAAACTCGAAATCAATTAATGGCAAGGTCAATGGCAAAAAGGTAAGCCAGATTTAACTGAGATAAAAATTGAATTGTAGTGAGAAAAAATAGCCTATTATGATGGTTTTTGAATTCTGCTGTACCATTTCATAGAAATCATTGACTATGATGCATCATGATATTTTTCCGTGATATTCAAAACCTAACTGACATTGATTTAGCTTTATTCATGATGTAATGAACGTTTAAACTATTTTTAAAATATAAAATAATAATTTTTTCGAGCCAATAAATACATTGACCGAAGAAAATCGCGGTAAAGAAATATTGGGTATTCGATTTTATGGCAGTATTTCATGCTGATGTCTCCTATAATTATAAGATATCAAAGTTTCTGTTATAGGAATTCTAATTTGTCATACAAAATATTATTTCAAATTTCAGGTCTGTTGGATGTATAGAAGAGGTCGTTGTAGACTTGGAAAGAAATGTAAAATGTATCATGACAGTGAATTACGCAAAACTGAAGCAGTTGAAAAACCTCCAACAAACAACATTTCTGAAATCCCCAAAAACTCTCCTCAAAAGCGATCATATGAAGAAGTATCACCAGCCGTTATTGATGATGATGAGATTCAGCCAAAAACTAAAATTCATAAGAAGAAATTTGGACTAAGTGATGATATTGTTCCCCCCAAAAAAGTTATTGAACATTTGGAACGAGTTGGTAAAACCTGCCACTGATATTGACTTATTATTGCAATTATGTATCGTTTTTAACAGCATGCCATTATCTTCCAAGTTCAGGGTTTTTATTATTAATCAAGATTTTATATAATATCCTTTGTACTAGAGCTAATAAGTTGACGTTTGAACTTTCAATGTCAGTTGCATCGAAATCATATTCATTGACATTGGAAACTATAGTTTTTAGCTATGTTTTTAAATTAAGAAAATGAGTCATCAGTATCTTATTTTTGGGACAATTATCCGCAATATAAGCGAGAATAGCAATGTTTTTTCAACTATTAACCATGTAGTGAATTCAAGTAATCGATTGTGGTAAAATTAATAGACTTACCGGTAGTTTTGAGTTGCCATCTCTTCAAAATAAAATATTAAAAAATTGGACATGGCCGAAAAACGCAGTCAAAATAAATTCTAATCTATTTGGAAATCAAGGATTTTAGTGAAGCAATTTTCTCCATCTTGTTGAACACAATATTTTAATGATACCTAAGAAGTAAATGTCATTAGAAATGGATTAAGAATATTTCAAATACAAAATTTGGAAGAGTGACTGCTTTTATTGAATTATAAAAAGCTTGCAGACACTGCCCTGTAATGATTGTTTTTATATAGTTTTTAATTAAAATATCATCAGGTTGATGATGTATTGTTGCTACTTGATTTTAACTGATGTACTACTCTGTAGATACTGAATAAAATGTTTTTTAAAGTTGATTCAAGACTTATCAGTAATGTGCCTAACTTGATGTACCTCCTCAACATCAGTGCCCAGTATTTATACAAATATTAGTGGTGTTTTTAACTTATCTACCTCTTTTTAATGTTGCGTCCGAGAAAATGCAAATCATTCATGGAATGAAGTTTACTCGCAGAAGCTATTTTGTAGGTTGTCTTTGTTGTTGTTATCAATCACGAAGCAGGTTCAAATAAGAAGCTAATTTGTTCCTGGCGCGTTTTGTTTTCTTTTATATCATTTGCAATACACCTTCATTATTGATGTTGTTTTTGTATATGTCAATTATATTTTAAACCATTCGTGTTTCACAATTTTTTTCATGCCTTTAAAGTACTTGTGTTTTTGTTTTTTGAATAGACTCCTCTCAAATAATGTCTAGCGTATTTGTTCATATTGGACAATGTGGAAATCAGATAGGCCAAGAATTTTGGCGGAAGACCTCTGTTGTTGCAGAAAAAGATTTCAATGTTAAACGCGCATTTTGCACACCTGGAGGTGCAGGCCGTGATAAAGAGGGGCACATGCGTGCCGTATTTGTTGACAGTGAGAAAAAGGTTTTGCAAAGATTACTCAAAAGCTTCAAGACAGGAAAAAAGGCCACATCTTTCCAGTTTGGCTACGCGAATGTCATAAGTTGTGCAAAAGGATGTGGATCGAATTGGTCTTTAGGTTACAATAGAATGCCAGAAGAAAAAGTCATGAACCCATGGTCAACGAATACCTATTCTTACTCCCATGAATTTGATTACGGAAGTGAGGACAGCATATTGAAATCTTCCATGGAAGCTATACGCCGTGAAGTAGAAGCTTGTGACTCTTTCTCAGGATTTGTTATATTTCATAGTTTGGCTGGTGGGACTGGTTCCGGATTTGGTGCAAGAATTTGCGCGGAGTTGAGAGATCGATACCCGGTTGCATATCAACTCAGTGTGACTGTGGCACCACATTCCTCTGGGGAATGTCCAACCCAACCATATAATGAATTACTGTGTTTGGCAGGGTTGCAACAAGACTGTGATGGTATTATAATGTTTGAGAATGATGAAGTCTTGGACTCAATCAGTAGATCATCAACTTCTGCAACTAGCGCTGTCTCTCTTACACAAATGAACTCTTATATTGCTGATTGCATATCTAATTTGCTAAGGCCTGTATCTAGTCTCACTCCACCAAATGGTGTCACTGTCGGCATAGAACCTTGGGAATTGATTAGATCTGTATCACCAATGCATCCTATGAAGCTCTTAAACTGCAGGTAAAATAAACTTTTGTAATGGAGTAATCCAGATTAGCAAGTGATCTCTTTATGCATGTGTTATCACAATGAAGCAAAAAACAATAATTGCATTCAAATTTTTTCAACCATTGAATAATTACTGACGAGCCATTCCTCGACAAATTGTGAAAACAACATGATGCTATTACCCACCAGAACTTTGTGTGATCCATTTGAAGGTCGTGGCACAAAAGATACTAAGATAAGATAAAATTGTGAATCATAAGTGATAGCATTTGGATGTGGTGTGCTCGACCTGCTCTAAATACAATTTATTTTTGCCATTACTGACTCAATAATACTGCTATTGTGTAATATATTTACTTATTATTCAGGACTGTACAGGAAAAACAGAATGCGAGTCGACCATCCACAAAGTCTTCATCATGGCCAGAATTATCTAAAAAGCTTTGCCAGGGAGCAAGAACAAAATTCTTACAAACGAAATCACAATATGGAATAGACGATTCTACATCAGCAGCAGTATGTGTTTGTCGTAATGCTACCAAAAGCAAAAGAAGCGATACAAACAACATCGATGTGGCAAATCTTGCATCAAGGCTAAAGAATTCGTACAATTGCGTTACCTGGAACCCATTCCCCATTGATGTGTGGGTTGCTGAAAAACCTGAAGTAAATACAGATGCAACAAAATCTCTGACTGTATGTGCTAATATTACTTCACTAGGAACTGTGCACTGTGCTAATTTGTTGCATTCTGCCAGACGGAAATTTGAAGCAAAGGCTTACTTGCACTGGTATGAAAGATATGGGACATATCATAGTGATTTTGAAAATGCATTTGATATTGTCCATAATATTGTAAAGGAATATGAAAAGGCAGCAGCATAATGAATAAGATTGCTGAATATCACCACTGGAACTCTGTGGCAAAAACATAAAAATAGTCTTGATTTCAAGTATCGAGTGTTCTCAACCTGCAACTTATCCAAATGAGTGAGAATAGTTTCTTTTTTCCTGAGAATTGTATTATTGTGATTCACCTCATTGCACAATAAAATTTACTTACTTCAACAACAAACATACTTCAAAAAAAGAATGAGAATTAGGACTTTATACACACTTAACATTTTGAAAAATAGACCAACGTGAGAGGCAGAGACCTGGACACAATGTAAAGGCCCTCCACCGACCAAATCAGTAATAATAACAACAATAAGTTTCTGAAAGCTGACTTCTGTATAAAAAGGTAGGTTTATGGAGACTAGGATAGACCACAGTGTGCTTTCTAACATGTTGGAGTATATCTATTTGGGAACCAAAGCTAGTTTTTTTTCTGTGATTCATTGAGGCTGTAGGTAGCCAAGCTTAAATAATGGTTTCGATATATTAAATACAGAAACTTCAATAACTCAGGAAATTGAAATGAATGGCAAAAACTCCTGAAGGGTTTAGAGAAAATTGGGTTGTAGTAAATGACAATAAAACAGTTTAAACCAGTCTAAAAAATAGCATTCATCCTGAAAAACTTTGTCGAAACCAAAATTTTTTCTAACAAAAAAAAAAAGATTATACACAAAAATAAACGTTTATCCCCAATTACTAATCACTTGTTTATTCAAAAGCTTAGCTCAGAGAATCAAACTTCCTTTACATTTATTTTGAATTTATGGCCAATCAATTGGAAAAATTGACACATGTGCATATATAAATTAATATAAAGAAAAATATTACTTTCAATCAAACACTATTTTCTCATTCTTGTAATCGACTTCTTGCGAATTAAGTATAAAATCCATCTTACAACAAAAGGCCACAAAACGATAAAACATAAAGTCCTTGGTCCAATGTCTTTGAAAGGCCACCAGGATGGAGATGAGATTTCTTTTGATCTATGTCTGTGACTACTCGTTGATGAACTGGAACCACCGGATACAGTGCGACCTCGACGAGCCTGTGAAAGAAAACATTTTATTCAAAGTTGGAGTTTTTTATATTTAAGTGAATGTGAATCTTTGCTTAAAGACAAGCAACTGCAATTTCTTGGTCCACATTACATGTTTTTGTTGGACAGCATCTCCATCTTAGTGATATGCAGAATACACTCATTGTATGTTTCTTTGCATATACATAGGAAAGAAATCAGTACTTATGCAAAAAAAATTGGGTTTGGTGGTACTTTCTGGGATGGGGTAGGTAAAATAGGTATAGTATCCATTGAGAGTTAGATTCATGGCAAAATTATTCGAGGAGCATTTCCTCACAAAAGATGCAATGAGATTGAGTGAAATGAATCTTGAATCTTCACACAACCTGCCAAGAATACCTTCTGCATTTATTGAACCAACTGACAATTTTTAGGCCGATGTGTTGTAGACCAACGAAGAGAATCAACAAACCATCTGTGTAGACTTATAGACTAAAAGCTGACTATATGTCACTTGATTTATACAGTACCTGTTGTCCAACAGTGAGAGCTTCAAGAATTGATAATCTATTCAATACACTGTTCATGTCTTGCTGTAACTGAAGCAGAGTGGTGGCTATTTGATTTTGAACCTAGAATAGAACAAAAAACGTATGATAGAATTTGACTACAATATATGTAAAGCATTATACAGTTACATGAAGTTACATATTTTGGGCAAATGTGCAACATATACCAGGTATGAAATTCTAAATTTACCAGAGGACATATTCAAAATAAATCAGTTATATGCAAATGAAACTCACCTCTGAATACGAGTAAGGTGGGTCATTGCCTGAACCACCTGAAGAACCAGGATTTTGTCCCATTCTATTATTGCCAGTCCTGCTGCCTCTTTCTCCACTTCCACCCGAACCAAGACCTAAAAAAAGTAAACATCATTAGACAATATGTTCAACTATATTACGCTGAGCGGGTGCAAGGGCTGAGAAGATAAAGCGCTGGATTAAAGATCTGTGCTCCAAATCCCAGCAGTTTACCCAAGATGTAACAAATTGGGTAGGCGATTCTGAACCGAAACACCTTATGAAAAATGCATGGACTATTATGCCGAAAATTTTCTAAAATAGTTTTGTCTGAGAACAGTTGAAACATGCAAGACAAAGAAATCTTATTCCTATCTGACTATTTCCACAACTGACAGTTTTGAGGCAAGTTTTACACAAGTAAAATACACAATATAATACAAAAAAAATCAATATTTGACACTAACAAAAGAAATAAGAACTCACCACTTTGTGGTGAAGTAAAAGATGTCTTGTCTGAACCCCGAGTCCCATGTTCGCCTCCTCTTGTTCGAAGCCTCACTGTATTGGTAGAACTGTTATATACAAAATTCATAGGCATTCATTACCGAAATAACAAAACTTGCTGAAAAGAGACGAGACTGAATAGGAACATGCTAGTGTCAAAGTGTATAAGTTAGTCTGAACAAATGAATCAAAAGAACAGCACAAACTCATTAAAAAAAAGACATCTTAGCAACACACCAACCATATATACATACATATATTATTGCTGCAGATCTCTGCTATAATTGAACTCTATATTGACACATGGTGAGAACATAAATACGTAATGTCTAGTCTAGCATGAAAATCACTACTGCTATGATATGTGTTAATATGCTCAGATAATTGTCATTCGCTTACATGTTACTCCAGTTATAGTCAGGTTTGGCGTATAAATCTTGGAAAATGTAAATTAGCAATGCAAATTCAAGAGAGGCACAACTATGTGTCCAAATTTTACACAATTTTGAATAAAATTCAACACAAGACGTCCAATTATTTACATAAAAATCTCCTTATTTTAAACAAAAACTTATACTCACATATCAGTATGATGATATTGATGTGAATCTGAAAATATAAAGTGTTACAAAATAAATAAATATTCCCACAAAGTCTTTTACTACTCAAAGATGTGAATTCACAAAGAATACGTAGATGCTTAAATGTGGGATGAACTAGTTCTCTCTGTAAAAGTTGACTTAAAAAATAACGTCCCAGTGACTTAGCTTGCAGGTTAAACATCTCAAAACTGAAATATTAGGCCTACCAAGTTAATTGAATTGAAACCATTTTTAAAATACAAGCTTAGATCTAGCCAACACACAATAAACACCCTTAGCAATACCTTTTACTTTGCAATTAGATTCGGCATTAGCCAAGCACAGCATGAAAAATTAAATACCGTATTCTAATAATTATTGTGTCGGTTTCAAAACACATAAAAAAGTACAAGTTTAACATGAATATCAATACTTACGTTCTCTCTCCAATGAACTATCCATTGTACTGACAGAATCTGACTCAATTGGATCTTCGGGATTTACTAGAGTGTAACTCATAGATTGTGAAGTGGATGGATTCTGAAAACAAAAATGAATTAATTAAATAATGGTTAAAAAACGACTGATTCTCCTGAAAGATCAATTTTCAATTAACAATATAGGCTATAGCAGGGGTGGGCACACCGCGGCTCGCCAGACTTTTTGTGCGGCTCTTCTCGCTAACATAAATTATTATCCAAATTTTAGCTAAGAGGAAAACTTTAATGTAAACTCTTTTAATTTATTAAAAGTCGTAAAGAAGTTTTCATCAATGATTAGGATAAATTATGTTTTAGCATGAAAATCGCTGTAGCGTTGAATTTTGAACTCAAGTCAGCAAATCTTTCGTCACAATGGTCAATGTTTATTGATGCGTCGGCGGTATTGCAGCTTGATTGCGGTTAGTCTGTCTAAGTTACTGTGCGATATGTCCTCAAATAAAAAATGAAAGTACGAAGATGAAAACAGAGTTGTCAAGTCAGAATGGGAAGAACGTACAAATTTACCAGTCAGGAGAATAAACCTTTGTGCTTAATCTGTCATAAGCTACTAAGTCAGAATAAAGTCAGCAATTCAAACGGCACCATGAAACGAATCATGAAAACTTCTTACGAGATTTCTCTCGTAAATCAGCTATAAGGAAACACAAATTAAATGAGCTCAAATTGTGCCTATATTTGAGTATAGCTGCCTTGTTTATCTATTTATTGTTATTAGACTCTTGTGTGAATTTTTTTCCCGTTCATGGTATTTTGATAATATTGATAAATTCACAAATTTTGCAGCTCTTTTAAAGTTCTGACTTGCAGCATGCGGCTCTTATACTAAAAAATTGTGCCCACCCCTGGGCTATAGCATATCCACCTTATTGTATTGGATAACATCTAGTTATGCTGGAACTCTTTTCAGGAAGTTGATATTTTGAAATAGGAGACATCATTCATGTATTGAATAATTGTATTGATAAACTGACTTCAATTTGGAAAGACATTTATTACTAACAGTTTCATTAAACTCATCAAAAATAGGTACAAACTGACAGTAGAATGAATAGGTTTAAGTTAAGACGAGGTGTGGATACATAATTTCAATCACCAATTGTATGGCTTCCTCTGTGTAGGCCATCGGCCTGCCAAATGAACAGAGGGCTTCATTTTTAGGGCAGCGACAAAGATATGTATTGCCAACTGAGTGCAAGGATAGGTTTTATGTGAAAATACGTTCTTTAAATGATTTCAAATGTCTTTAGACTTCGGTAAATGAAAAATGGCGATAAACGTCCCAAGTTTATAATATTCAACAATATAATGAAAATTATGAAATGACTAGATATTTTGTGCAAAGGGTTTCTACTGCATCTAATCATTGCCCGTCTGCATTAATATTTAATGAGCGTACTGTGTAACACTGAGATAATATTTATCATGAACAAACAATAGAATGTTTTTATATATTCCTCACCTAACTTTGCAAACCTATAAAAATACTGATGTATGTACAAGAAATATGGTAGAAGATTAACTAGTGACTAGAAAGCATTGGGGTAGAATAATCACCTATAATCTCTGCTTATTCAGCACTCGATTGATTTTT